CCTTCGATTTGTGAAACTTTTCAATTAATACCTTCTTCTTCGCGCTGTTCTCGAAGTACAACTCTTCGCAGAACTTGTCGACAATCGGTCGGATCTTATCCCTCCTCTTGTCCTTGTCTTTGATTGCGATAAACAGCTCATTGAAGTGCTTCTTCAGGTGATCCTTAAATTGATAGTCGATATCGTGAGCGAAATCGCACTCATTGTCCGTGTCTTCGTCGATGTGTTCGCAGCGCTTCTCCAGTTTGTCGTGTATTTTATTACACACTTTACAACCAAAACACTTATAGATCTTCATGTCTTTATGCGCGCTCTGGTCTTCGGTCAACCCTTTCTTCTCGTCCTCGGCCTTCTTCGCGGCCTCGCGTTCAGTATTAATGTGTCGTTTGATTATTTGAATCGTTTGTCCCGTATATGCACAATACGGACACACATACTGTCAAACGAAACAAATCACAGAGATTAGTATAAATGCGATCACAATATGGGAAGTAGTGGTGAGACCTTCGCGTCGTAATGGCCTTTCATATGAAACTCAAAGTGCTCTTTGGTATCCATCACAGCATCGCATTGTTTCGCATCGAAAGTACACGGAAAGTACCCTTCAATACAAAACACAAACATTATTAAAACCAATCATTTAAACGCTAATCAATGGTTAGTACCTGAGGGCTGAGAATCCCGAGTCTTTCGCTGCCTCTTAGGTCCCGAAGCTTTCTTCTCTTTGCCTTTCTTTGACTCCGATTTGTCCAACGATTGCGAATCCATAGAATCGTCTAAAGTTTGAGATTCTGTATCACTGGTGGTCCTCTTCCTGGACTTCGGACCCGCTCTTCCCCTCTTAGTCTTTTGAGTCCTTTGCGGCTCAAGTGGTTCCTCCGGTTCTGAATCGGAAGACATTAAAAGATTCCGTGTCTTTGGTTTCAATACTTTGTTCGGTTTCGGCTCCACTTTTCGTGGCGAACGTCTTCGGGAGTCATCGCTGGCGTCGTTAGCGCCACTCGTTTTATCCATAGATTTAAAGTAATTCGAGATCTTATTAGACGAAGAGGTGGGCGAACCGTTCGAAGAGTCCTTTCGCTTATCCTTACGTCCGCCGGCGTTGGAAGTGCTCGGCTTCGGTCCGCCGTTCGCTTTACTGGTCGACGTCTTGAGATAGTCGTCGAGCACTCGTTGGGCATCAGGTAATCGACTGATGAGATAAGTGTTGAGTTTAAACAACTCTAATGTCTGCAGAAGTGCTGTCTTCTCCCTCTCCTTAAGAGTGGACGCCTTACTAATGATGGCTTTGCTTTCGGTCTCGTATTTAACGATCAATTTTTTCAATCGTTTGTTTTCTTCGTTCATTTCGCTCCACTTTTTGCCGCCATTTGTCTTCCCATTCAATGAGTCCTACAATTAATCAATCAATCATTAAATCAATGCCTAATTCACTGTCTATTGAAAGACACAAAACGCGAGACATGTGTCGCGACGACAAACACCTGTTGGCCATCGGATTCTTCGTTGTCCGACACTTCCATCACTTCTCTGGCCATCAATTGAGACACAAATTGGCGTAAAATTTATAATAAAATTGATTTAAAGAGAAATTAAAACAATTAATAAAACAATTATTTTTTTAACGATTTATTGATTTCATGCCTGAAATCAAAGCCAATGAGAAATGAGCGCCAAATCCAATGCAAACCAAATTCACGTGCGTTTTGTGGCATTTGTTGACATTTTCCCATCAAATCAATGAAATGTTTTCACAACATTTTCAACGCAATTGTATTCTTGAATATTCACTAATATCTGGACGTAATTTATCTCACGCTTTGAATGCAATGTTTACGCGATTTTGTGATCAAATATTTTGCCACAAAAATAGTTAAAAAGATTGACTCAATGGTCGGGAAGTGATTGTCTTTCGGCCGACAATCTTGTTGTCAAACTCGTGAGGAATGAATCCGTCGCGAGATATTAAAGACATTAAATACGGCCACGACTTGAACGCCGGCCCGTCTTCGGTGTCCTCCGCGTCCTCGACGGCCAACTCTTCAACCAATCCATTGAATGAGCGAAAGATATCGTTGTTTTCGCTGAAGAACTTGAGGCCCGAAGAGGTGCCGCCGGAGGATCAGTTGGGAAAATGCCGTTTAGTCACAGAGTTTGAGAAACTGAATCGCATCGGAGAGGGAACCTATGGTATTGTCTGTGAGTATGAGCGCAGCCGTCGCGCAGTCATGTCGTGACCACTATTTGTCTCTCTAACCCATCCCTAACCCCACAGACAGAGCCCGAGACACGCGGACGGACGAGATCGTGGCCCTGAAGCGCATGCGTATGGACCGCGAGAGGGAAGGGCTGCCCATCAGTGGTCTCCGAGAGATCAATCTATTGCTAAACTTAAGGCATCCAAATGTGGTTCAACTGAAGGAAGTGGCGGTCGGCAAGAGTTTGGAGAGTATTTTCCTTGTGATGGAGTACTGCGAACAGGACTTGGCCTCACTCTTGGATAATATGAGCGTTCCGTTCACCGAATCACAGGTCTTAAGACCCGAACCGACCATTAGTTGTATTGAATGTCTGTTTCTAAATGACAGGTGAAGTGTATTTTGCTTCAACTGTTCCACGGCTTAGAGTATTTGCACAAGAATTTTATCGTTCATCGAGACCTCAAAGTATCCAATTTGTTGCTCACCGATAACGGAGAGCTGAAGATCGCAGACTTTGGTCTCGCGCGACGTTACGGCCAGAAGGATATGCCGATGACTCCACGTGTGGTCACCCTCTGGTACAGAGCGCCGGAGTTGTTGTTTCAGTCGAAAGTGCAGACCACAGCCATCGACATGTGGGCCGCCGGCTGTATATTAGGGGAACTGCTTCTCCACAAACCCTTACTTCCCGGGCGGTCAGAGATTAACCAAATAGAGCTGATTGTAGACCTGTTGGGCACTCCTAACGACACAATATGGCCCAACTGTTCCAAACTGCCGGTTCTCGACAAGTTTCACCTCAAACACCAGCCCTACAATAATCTCAAGTATAAATTCAATTGGGTGTCAGCGGCCGGCATACGGCTCCTGAACCTACTCTTTATGTACGACCCGATGAAGAGGGCGACCGCTGAGGAATGCCTTCAGAGCTCCTACTTTAAGGAAAATCCATTACGTAAGACAATATGTTGTCATATCTTGTCTTATGTTAACCAATCATTTCGTTGACAGCCTGTGATCCCAAACTGATGCCATCGTTTCCACAGCACCGCAATCTGAAGCGAGAGGCCGACGACCAGCCGATGCCCGCGCGGAAGGCCGACAGCGAGCCCGAGAGGTATAGTATTAAAGCGAATGCACTGTTTGTGGAGTATTACTTAAAATTGATTTATTTCCCGACAAATGTGTCACAAGTCGTTCGCAAATCCTGCACTTTAATGGCAATAAATTCGTCCCAAAAATGCCTAAATACTAAACCAATCACTTGTTTTACATTCAACTGTATTTATTTGTATAATAAAAATAATGATTTTATTAATGATATGAAACTATTGTGAAAAATATCAATTCATTTAAACTATTCGTGCATTAGTTTAAAACAATCACATGATTAGTGCAAATGAAAGGAGGTGTCAGCGGCCGGCATACGGCTCCTGAACCTACTCTTTATGTACGACCCGATGAAGAGGGCGACCGCTGAGGAATGCCTTCAGAGCTCCTACTTTAAGGAAAATCCATTACGTAAGACAATATGTCGTCATATCTTGTCTTATGTTAACCAATCATTTCGTGGACAGCCTGTGATCCCAAACTGATGCCATCGTTTCCACAGCACCGCAATCTGAAGCGAGAGGCCGACGACCAGCCGATACCCGCGCGGAAGGCCGACAGCGAGCCCGAGAGGTATAGTATGAAAGCGAATGCACTGTTTGTGGAGTATTACTTAAAATTGATTTATTTCCCGACAATGTGTTTCTCGACCGCACAAGTCGTTCGCAAATCCTGCACTTTAATGGCAATAAATTCGTCCCAAAAATGCCTAAATACTAAACCAATCACTTGTTTTACATTCAATACATAAATAAACATATTATTTTTATTACTAAAATAATTACTATACTTTGATAACACTTTTTATAGTTAAGTAAATTTGATAAGCACGTAATCAAATTTTGTTAGTGTACTAATCACGTTTACTTTCCTTGGTTTTCATTTGTTTGTATAAAAGTGGGCAACGAGTTGAATGAGATCAGCCTTTTTGACGTTATTCGGAACCGAAATGTTGTTGTGATTGCAAAACGCCTTCAATTCAGCCACAGTAAGGGATCCAATCTATTGTTAGTGTTTCAAATCAATTATTAATTATTTATTAATCAAATCAATTATTAATAACACACTTATGCTTAATTCAACGCATATTTATACCTTGTTTTGTTTGCATTTGTCCCTCATTTGCTCCTCCGTGTAAAGTGTGACCGGTTTGACGGTCGGCTCCACGTTATAGGCGCCCAACATTGTGTTCAAACTGTACATATCATAACCGGCTTCGGTTTCGATGTGTTTATAGTCGGGTTGTGTTCGGGGCTCGTCGTAGGGCTCGACGTCAGCCTCGTTAAGAGCCAGCGCTTCAATCGTACGCCAATGTGTTTGAAGCACTGGATTCTCAAAGTCCTTCGCATCGAAAGCAAATGTCAACTTTTCGACAACATTTTTAGCCAACTCTAATCGACGTCAGCCTCGTTAAGAGCCAGCGCTTCAATCGTACGCCAATGTGTTTGAAGCACTGGATTCTCAAAGTCCTTCGCATCGAAAGCAAATGTCAACTTTTCGACAACATTTTTAGCCAACTCTATGGCCTCGGGTTTGACGTCGAGGTTCTTCGCCCCGTCGACGGCCAGATGTCTTACTTCCTCTTTGAATGGCAAATATATCACTTGAAAACCTCCGGGTTTTCCCTTTAATACAACACATATTGAATTAATTGATTTAATAACAATTGTCAAAGAGATGCTTACCTTTGAAGTGTCTTCTCGTTGGGGTAAAAGTGCCACCAAATGAGGCGGCGATGACTTCCTGAGTGTGAGCCGACATATGACCACTTTCTTTCTGTCGGCACACCTATCGAGGAGTGCATTAAACAAAGCGGTACTGCCTTTCACTTCATTTTCGTTGGGATACAAGAACACAGGCGAAAACTAGACTTTCACGCTAAACTACCGTAAGGAGCCGAATTTCGGGAGTAAAGTAATGGACGAGTCCTCCATCTGTTTACCCGTTTTGAGTTCACTTTTGTTCATAAGTATGTTTTCGGCGCCAAAATTGTATTTCTTATGTAATTCATCGGATGTAACGCTCGCCCCGACGTCTGCTGTCCAGCGCTGGGTTTGCGCCACAACTGGTTTATTGTCATTACGATCGACTCGAATAGCCGTCGGCTTTTTGGTCTCCAAACAGAGGCTGTAGACATAGACAGTCATCTGGACATCAGTTGACTTTCCATCGGGTCCAGTGGTTGAGCCGAAACGGAACGGCAGTGAAGCCAATATTCTTTGCGTGTGGTTTTTGCTATAAACTCTAGACATTAATTGATCCAATTTTACCATATTATTGTCACTCTTGTCGTCTTTCAGATGTGGAAACACAGACTTTGTATTGAAATCAGTGTTTAATTCGCAAATCAAAGTACTTTGAATTAGTGTCTAAACCTCATAAAACACTTCGGTGTCAAACGCTTGGTCTCCAATTGGGATCAATTCAACGTCGATGTTGTGGTCTTTAAAATCTTTGGCTCTACTAATGGCTGTAGACCTCAAGTGTCTGCTTTCGGTGGTGTTGTCTGAATACGGATTCGCACAACAAGTCATCAAAATGACGCGTTTTGTCGCGAAATGAGATTTGCTTTGAATGGCAAACAAATTGTAATTACAATACAAGACATGCCATCAAAAATGGGACAAACCTTTTAGTGAATTCCGATATAGCAATCATAAAGACATCGGCTAAAGAGTAGCGGCCGTTGTGTCCAAACCGGGTCTCAAAAACCTCTTCGGTAAGCTCTCGAATACCAAGAATTAGATCGACGCTCGGCTTCTGGAGCTTGTGGTCGACGACTATGTGTTCAAACGCTAACTCATTGTCCGTCTTATCGGTTCCCATAAAAATAAGCGCCGATTCGTCGGATGGATTCGCGATGGCTTTGTTTTTCATCACATTCTCCACGCACTGCAAGACATGACCGAAACAGACCATTAAGTCAATCAACAATTAGTAAAGCGTGTCATCGCATGTCATACCTGTCGGGCGAGTGAGAAGTGGTGTCCATCGGAGGTAAACATGTCTTTCGTCACATCAATGATGAAAACAATGCCTTCTTTGCCGCCAAACAACTGGTGTTTGAATCAAAATCAAATCAATTATCGTTTAAATTGCATGAATGGACTCAAATCAAGACATACTTTGTATGCATTGGTGTCGTCGTCGTTGTCGTCGTTGAGGAAATCCATTGAATCCATGTCTTTATGTCTGTCTTCAGCAATGATTGTATCGATTGTTTGCCTGTATTTCACTTCAAATGCGAAACACTTTTACTGTTTATGTTGTGATGAAATCCAATCAATTTCTATATATTTCTCACTAAACAGTAATAATGTTTTGAAATGTATTTTCAAATAATTGTTTTTGTATTGAATTTGAATGTAAAGTGAATCTAAAGGGGACTCAAAGGGCACTCAAAGTGTTGCATATTTTTAGCCGTATTTGTTGTGCACTGTTTTAAAGCGTTAACCAAAACACGTGTTTTGTTGTGAATTGATTTGATTTGAATGACAATCAAATGAATTGATTTGTGTATTGAAAGTGTCATTTAGTTTATTATCAATTGATTCCCAGAGTGTGACCATCGCTTGGAAATGAAGCTGAGGTCACCGGAAGAGCTGGAGCACTTCTGTAAACACGTCTCTCACTCGCGACGCTGGTGAAAACGGTTTGCTAAATTCTCCCAAAGCCGCGAGAACAGCAGTAGTGGTGTTGATTCAGGTGTCGTTACCGACATACAGACCGCACGGATGTATTACAGCGTCTGGTACTCGGAAATGACCAAAGGCTGCGACCAATTGATCCAAACGATCGGCACTCATGAGGACGAGACGATGCTATTGTCCGGATTCACTGCTTTGACTAAAGACTGGTTCGGAATCGATGTCTTCAGACTCGATAAATACATGCTTTTGGTTAGAGTTATGATCAATACTTGCCTTAAATTGCAAACAAAGTTTCTGTTGGACAACACATTCACTGACGAGAAGACCATTGAAACCAACGATAATGACATGAATGGTGTTGAAGAAGCGGAAGAAGACATTGAAGAGAACGACAAACAGACAAATGAACGGAAGGAAAAACGAAGGAAGAGATTCGCACCGAAGAAGGAGATAGTATTTGACATTGAATTTAAGTCTAAGATAATCGATGAGATGCTGTCGACAGTGAAGTCGTCTATTGGACTGAGTCTTCATTTGTCGGACGTATTCATCGACGAAATGGTGAAAGTGTTGACAGAAATGAGAGACAAACTGAAAGTGAATGAAAGGATTGAGTTTTATTACCATATTTTCCTGCCATTCGTCAAAATGATTGCCGTCTCTGAAGACTATCGGGTCATAAATAATGTCAAACAGAATGTGTTCTTTAGATTCAAGAATGAGATACTCGTCGGAGAATCGGTGGACACACGAAATGTGGTGATGAAGCGGTTGATCGACGCCATGATGACCATCGGCGGCGTTGAAGACATCGCTCGTAAAAATCGGGATTCAATTTACGATTTAGTTTCCCATCTGAAGAAAAAAGTGAATCAATTGAGTGAAACAAATGTCGACAAAAAGACTGTTAAGAGGAAGAAGATTCTGATGGGAAGGGGAAGACATAAGAGAGTGAAATATGAGATCACTTCCAGTTCACCATTTGTTAGATCTATTGTTCCGATCGCTGTTCTGTAAGACTTGACATTTTTATAAACACTTATTATAAATAAAAAACAATTAATTCTACAAATCATTTATGAATATATTGAATGTATTTTAATTATATTTAATAATAAACATTGAGATTTACATAATATTTAAAACAAATGATTAGAAAATGATTTATTTCGGCATATTTTGAACAAAACTATAGCCGAAGTCTTAAAAGTGATGGAAGAAAATCAATAAAATACAAAAATCTACGATAAATAAAAGTTGTGACAAAACAATTGAGTAGTTTTAAGTAATTATTTCAACATTAAATCAAAAAATAATGATTATATATTAAATGTGTATTAAATTAGTAAATTTGTATTTATATCTTTTAAATCAACAAAAAATAGTTATATTTAATTCGTTAAGTCTTTGGTTTCATTTGTACTTTCGTTTCCTGAGCTGACGAGAGGTCGAGGGCTGAGGCGAGTGTGGAGTGGGAGGTGTGGGGGGTGTGAGCGGTGCGGGAGTGGTGTCGGCGCCGGTAATCTCGAAATAAACGTAAGACTCTGACTCTTGGTCTCGATTTCGGATCCGATACTTCGTTCGCGCGGGTATTGTTATCACGTGATTCGTACGGACCACTCGGGAGCCACTAATGCCCATCACTACCACATCCACTGAATTGGTGAGAACAGTGAGTCTATGGACGCAACAACCAGTACTACCGTTGGGACGGACGGCCTGAGCACCCATTTTGATAATACCGGTCAATACTGGAGACTCGACTGGACTAGAGGTCATCACAAGCGGCGGTAATAGGAAAGACGTCCACACGTTGTCGGCGCCTATACTTAACCCGAAAAACTGTTGCTCTGAAACACGACTCAATAGATTCAAACGAAAGCTCTGATACGACTGATCGGCGCTCATGTCTTTCACAGCAATGGTTACCAATGGAGGACCACTTCGCAGACTATACGACTTTTTCAGTAGCGGTCGCAAAGACTTTGGCGACAAACTAGCGTTACGACCATGAGTTTGGCCACTGCTTTGACTACTGGTTTGACTACTGGTTTGACCACTGGTTTGACCACTGGTTTGACTATTAAATGGGTTCGTCGGCGACGGAGACACTGTTTTCTTCTTCTTCCGCTTCTTGTCTGTCGTCTTATTGTTGGCCCTATTCTTGTGTTTCGTTGTCTTTGTTTGTGTGGTTAACTCATGCCATGAAGTGGTCTCCGGTGGCCAGTCGTGGGTCTCAGGACTCATCGGCGACCGATTAGACGCACGACTGGCGGTGTGTTTGCTGTCATCGGCGACGACAGTGTCATCAATGATGTGATCGTCGGTGAGAATGGCATCGATGTTGAGATCATCGTTCGCGAGCAATGTGTCAATCCATGAGTCGATGTCTTGAGGTAAAGGATAATCACCGCTGCCATCGCTGGCAGAGGCCGTGTCTTCGGCCGACATATCACAGAAAACACGTGTTTTGTTCACTAAAAGAGTGAATCAAACGCAAGACTCGTAAGACTTTACGCCAGAAAATCACAGCAAAAAAAACTTTTTTGTAAAATAAATGAAATACTTTTCAAAACATTTCTAGTTTTGAATTGTTTTTGCGTTTAATTGAAAGACATTTGAATAATGGTTTTGATGTGAAACTGATTGCAAACTAAAACAACACATGAATTACAATTAAAAGTTACAATTAAATGAGTTTTTGATTAAAAGCTTTTAATTAAAAGACAACACAAATACTGAGCGTTCAGTCAATGCGAGTACTGTTTGGCGCAAAGCGTCTGCAAATCGTTATAAGCTTTCACTCAAATCCCATATAAAAAGGGATCAAATCTTAACACTTATTAAACCCTTATTTATAACCCTTTTTACAAAATTTTAATTGTAAACACTTTTAAGCACTAAATATGTGTAGTTTTATGCCATTTATTACTGCATTTATAGCTTATTAATGCTTTTAATACCGATTTTAAACTGCTTTTGGGTCAACACTAAAGAGTTAGTACACTATTGGCTATTGAAATGCACTTAGAATTCAATTATTAATGCAATTAAAACTTTTTAATTGCAAAATAAATCTAAACATTAAAAGAGACGTTATTTGTGTTCAAATCAATATGTGATGCAATGTTTTCGATACATTTCGTATGTTTAATACAGTCTACGGTCGCTATTATGCACACAATAATACAAACGATAGAAAGTTGTCTGTACTGTAAACACATATCATTACGATTCAAAACACTGTTTATAGCGTTAAATACTGCACAAAATGGACAACAATTAGTGTTACGACACAAATAGTGAGCAAATAATGTACACAAATAGCGCCCAATACGGGCCGAAACAAGTGTTCACAAAAGCGAGTATAGAGTGTACGACAGAAACGAACGCATTGTTCGACACATGAATTGAATCTATTTCTGGAACTTTCGAAACAAACGGACGATTCGAATGACACTCAAAGTCGAGACAGAGTTGGAGTGAACTGTGAATCCAGTCATCCATTGACCGCATTATGTATTTCTTAGTCATAAAACACGTGACCCGAGAGTCGGTGTCTTCGCAGCTGTTGACCACTTGTGGCCGAAGATATGGACCGACAAAAGCGCGCATCCGATCGATGGCCACAATCGGCGCCACTTCTGGCGGTCACTACGGGTGGCGAAGAACCGCAGCGTCGGTCTCGTCGTTGGCTTCGCTGTACTGTTGCTATCATTACTTCGGCGCCAATCGATGGCCAGAATCCGGTCGCCGATGGCTGTCATCCGCCGTACGGCCCGTTCACTGCCTACTGATCCGCGACGACAACCACAACAACGGAAACCGGAATCGCTATAAGCGGCCGAACACTCCACAAGAGGATCAGCTCTTCGCGGCCATCCGTCGCGGCGATACTCCCGGCGTTCGGCAACTGTTGGCCGACAAGAAGCTGGACGTGAACTGTCGCCACACTCTGGGTTGGAATCCACTGCTGTTGGCGGCCGTCAACGGGCGGACAGATGTATGCGAACTACTTCTGGACGCCGGCGCCGACATCGAGGCCACCGATGAGTTCGCTTCGGCGCAGAAGATGTCCTTCCAGTACGGCCTCAACTATTTACGAGTGGCTATGAGTCGCGAACAGGACTTTACGGATATACTGTCCACTCGGGTGTCGTTTAGGGGCACATCTGCTCTGCATTACGCGGTTCTGGCGAACAGCGCCTCAACTGTGGATCTATTGCTATCGCGCGGCGCCAACCCGTCGGCCGAGAATGAAATCGGACACAAACCACACGATTACTGCAAACTCGACAATCAAGACCTCCAGAAGACACTGACGGACTCCGAGAAAAAGTTCGCAGAGATCCAGAAGAAGCGACAATTAGACGAAAGGCTAAAGTTTCCGCTCGAAGAGCGCATAAAAGAGGTGATCGTTGGCCAGCAGTCGGCCATCACGACCCAGCGCCGCCGGTAAGCAGCGTTTCTCTTGCCGACCATGCTGCTGCTCGTGGGCGAACACTACGATAAGGACCCGAGCAGGCCGTAGCCCTTCTGTCTTGACCGGTTTGCACACCGGCGCATAGACGACCCCAACAACGACCGCAAGGGTTTCATTCGCATGGATATGACTGAATACCAGGATAAGCACGAGGTGTCCAAATTCATTGGCGCCCCTCCCGGCTATGTGGGCCACGACGACGGCGGGCAACTGACCAAAGCTCTGCGCGAGTGTCCCAACGCTGTGGTACTGTTCGATGAGGTGGAGAAGGCCCACAACGATGTGCTCACCATTTTGTTGCAACTCTTCGACGAGGTATGTGTTGGCGTCGGAGGGCTGTAGTCGTGGGGCTCTTTGATCGGCATTTAATTCGTGTTTTATTTGATTGACATTTAAGGGCCGATTGACGGACGGAAAGGGACAGACAATTGAGTGCAAAGACGCCATTTTCATAATGACCTCAAACTTGGCCGCCGATGAGATCGGAGCGTACGGCCAGTCGTTGAGAAAAGCGGCCGAAGAGGCGGCCAAGAATCGGCTCGAGAAGGCGTCGTCGTTGGAAACAGTGGACGACGAGACCGAAGAGACGGTTCAAGTGTCTAAAAAGTTCAAAGAGGAGGTGATTCGGCCGATACTGAAGCAACACTTCAAACGGGACGAGTTTTTGGGCCGTATCAACGAAATGGTATACTTTTTGCAGTTCTCGCGCAATGAGTTGAACCAATTGGTGGCCCGAGAGTTGCAGTATTGGGCCGACAGAGCGCTGAAGAGACACAAAATGGAGTTGTCTTGGGATAAGAGGGTCATTGGCCTCATCGCCGACGAGTATAACGTTCATTACGGCGCCCGTAGTATCAAACACGAGGTCGAGCGCCGTATTATCAATAAGATTGCGTTCGCACACGAGAGTCAACTCATAACCCCCGGCGCCGGCGTTCACATCACTGTCGAAGAAATAACGTTCATTACGGCGCCCGTAGTATCAAACACGAGGTCGAGCGCCGTATTATCAATAAGATTGCGTTCGCACACGAGAGTCAACTCATAACCCCCGGCGCCGGCGTTCACATCACTGTCGAAGAAGGCTGGGATGCGGAGGAGGAGGTAGAGGTGCCCACCAAAGCGGCCAACAGTGGCGTCAAGACTATCGTTGATGGAGAACCTGTCGATGGATTGGATCCAATCGATGCCATTCCGGGCGAAGGCGAGGGCGAGACCACCGGTGCTGACGATAAGCCTCCCGTCGAACGCAAAGTCAAGACTTTAGACCAAAAAATCAAAATACAATTAAAGGACAAAAACAGTCGAAAAGAGGAGGTCTTCGTCGATATTCCCATTAATGAGAAGATGAAGAGTCGACTAAACGTTCGGAAGTTGTAGTCATTTATTAATTATTTAATTTAATTTTTGTTTTGTTTTTTCATTCATTTAATTTGCGTTTAAATTCTTAATTTATATAACATTACATTTTGTGTCCGTTTTTGCATGCATTTAATGTGTTTTTTATTCATAAATAAAATTTATTTTTATTAGAATCTCATTTATAATTAAATCCGGCTTTTAGTGAAGCGATTATAATCTAATAATCGATTGTCTGTTATTTACAGAAAAGTGTAGATAAAGTTGTAAAATATATAAAATTATTAAAATTACAATAGATTTAATGAAATAAATAGTAAACAACTATTCATTTATTGATTGCACTGAACAATGAACAAAACGATTGAATCATTTATTGAAAATAGGATTTACAATCGATAAGAACTCATAAAATACATACACTTTGAGTGAAATTAATAATAATTTATTGAATTATATATATGTTTGTACAATAATTTTCGGGGTGAATGAAGTATTAATAGATTGGGTGACAAATCATTGGGTAAATAATAAAAACACAATTAAGACATCATATAAATTACAGGTTTAATGAATTCGAGACAATTCCTCCACAATCTTAATCAAGTCATCGACTGTCGCCTCCTTTTTCATACCACTTCCGTCCGCATCGATCTATACATACAATCAGTCATACAATTAGTTCATTAATCCATTATTCAGACACAGATATAATCTCAGACTTGAAATCAAATGAATGTCAGAGCGGTTAGAATAAGTCAACACAAATACATTCAAATCTAGCGTTAGTATTCAGTCGGGGAAAGATTTCTCATCATTTCATTCATTTTAGTCCTCAAAAGTGTATAAGAAATATATGAATATAACAAAAGACAATACCATTAAGTCTTTAACGCATTCTTGCATTTTATCGCGACTTAAGTCGAGGAATGATTCAATGAGATCGCCGTCAATGAAACCAAACGACGCCTCAGTCTTCCTCTCGGTATTGAATGCGCGCCAAAAGTCGTGATCTATTTTACCGACAGATTTAATCACTTTATTGAGTCTGCACTGGAAGTCACGCAAAAAGTTGAAGTAATCCTGCGGTAACTGAGCGACCAATCCTTCAAACATAACATACAATTAATAAAACAAATGAGACAATGAGAGCGGCATTAGTGTTACCGATGGCGCCAAATATGGTGCCGTAGAGGACAGGCGTGCCCTGAATGGGTGTTGTGATCTCTCCCGGATGTTGCATAACAAGCGATCCGTGTCTCATAACATTGATATACTCTCCCACATGAAAGAGACCCACTTCTTGCAGGTGTTGTCTCTCCTCATCATTAGTGGCCGCGCTTTGGGTTTCAAAAACACAAATTAGTCAATACTTTAGATATACTATAAATTGATTTAAAAATACCTGTCTTTCTGACAAACAAACAAATTGAATGAATTCTCTGATCCCAAGAACGTGTCGTCGTCTAAGATCTCGACGGCTGTCATCCAATTTGGCTGAAAGTCGCGGGAAATCTCTTCGAAATTGCCTTCCAATGGCTTATACGACAAGAGAGTCATCGATCGCATGAGATCTCCGATCAAAATAAAGTCTCCTTTCGTTTTGAGATATAAGGCTATAATTGTGTTAAAATAAGAGCATTCGTTGTGTAAATCTCTTTGTTGTGTCCATTCGTAGAGCCGAACGGTTGAGTTGATTCCGGCCAACAGTTTGCTGTTGAACTCGACTATAGTATAGGGCGCGCCTTTGATCTCCTTTTCGGACACTTGTTGTAACCGACCTTCAGATAAATGAAAGACAATAATTCGGCCCAATTTGGGCTCCGGTTCGTCGGGATTCACAAAACACGTCCCAACGATATAATACGCGATCGGATCGTCACCTGTTGGCCATCGTATACATCATATTCAGCAATGGATTTACAGATTAAAGCAATTGTATCAATCAATTCATACCCAATTTGGCCGACATAACACTCAAAGCGTATTCATTGGCCATGAATTGGTGCGCGTGAAGTACTTCGAAGGTGTGCTGATCTATGATCAACAGGTGATGGACTTCCACCTCAAGACCTGTCTGTTCCATATTTGACGCATTGCTTGGCTTTACGATCGTCGGTATGGATGAAGAATAGGTTATGTTTTGCGCTAAAAATAAGTCAAATATAAAATAATCAATATTTTCCAATCACTTAAACACTAGACTAGTGTTTAGATTAATTAATAAATTCAGAGAAAAAAATTAGAGTTTAAAGACATCACAAAAACAATTTATATTCAAATAAATTGTAAATCAAGCAAAGAATCGTCTCATCATTAAAACCATTGCGCGAATCAAATGGAAAGCAAAGCAACAATAGATTGCAATACCTGTACGACTGGCGCAATCGGTGCGGAGGGGAACCAAACCGTCCTCTCCCAGCATATCGTGTCTCATAGTAATCACACCAAACGTTTGGGTCGACTCCTGATAGGCTATCCTTCGCGGCGATTCCCGCAACGGAACTGTTCTGATGTGCAGTTTCTGTATTTCGTCGATCTGTCCGATAAGTAGTTGCGAATCGGAGGCCAAAGCCAGCGAATCCCGAAACGCGTCCGAATTGAGTGGACACATATGATTCACTTCCTTGAGATTCACGTTAGAAAACACGAGTTTATTGTTCGACGAGTAGATGACTGTCGGCCTATCACTGCACGCGAAGATATTGGTGGTCGACGACGACGAGAATGTCTTCAGTACTGTTGGCTGCGTTCCTAACGTAATCTTCTTGCGGTCACTCAAACACCCGGTGTTTGGGTTTAGTGTGAAGTAAAACAGAGAGCCGTCGCCCAAAGCGGTCAACAGATAGTATGACAGTTCAAAGGCGGCCACGAGTATAGATCGGGGGATTATCTCACCGCCGAGACTCTCTTTGTGCATCTCTACTAAATCCGGTAAATGTATTAATCTATTCGTTCATAAATTCAATCATTAGTCAACTGTCCATCGATTAAGACGTTATTATCAATAAAGCCATACCTGACAGAGATGTCGGTCCAGAGGCCGACCGCACACAACGAGCTCTTCGTACCGTTGATGGGATTGATGTCGAGACACGCGATCTCGAATTCGGTCTGAGTTTTGTTAACCAAATCAATCATTTGGTCGTGAATTTCGAGATAATAGAGTTGATTACGAGCCGCGCATACGATCTGCGAGCTATTGCTCGACACCACAGATATGTTCTGTTCGGGTGTCCACTCGTTGCACAACTGCTTCGTTTCGGTGGATATGAGGCGTATACTATTGGCGGTCACCTGCAGTAACAGGTCTTCCCTCACATTACCGCAGAAGAGTGTCTGTTGTGTTATATCAAATCCGGGCAGTTCTGTCTCTTCCACTTCCTCACCGGTAAGCATAAGCACTTTGGTTTGACCCACGAATGACAGCACCAGTATATTGTCCAACTCGGAGCTCACCCTCAGCTGCCAAACGCCTTTAATGCCCGGCAGGTCTATAGTCGCCTGTTCTTGAATACCGATCCCATTGCGGATTATACGTAAAGACCCTAAACATCATTGTATAACAAGTTTTACTTTTAAAACACAATTTTCAATACAATTTGTAAATTATAATTAATGATAATATCAGAAAAATAGAATTTCACCACTAATACAGTATTATCTAGCAATGTGTCTGTCGGGGAAAGATTCTCATCATTTGCGGCAAATATCATATAAAAGTGCGGAGAAGTGGACAACAAATACCTTCTTTGAAAGCGCCGGAACAGGTGATGAGCTGTCCCTGTCCTTGTCTGTCGAGGTCCACAACTATCATGTCAACAATGGGTCCCAAATTGGTAAACGTCTCGAGAATGTCGACAAAACTTCCCGATTCGTTGGGCTCTAACTTCAGTTTAATGAGCTGAGAGTCGCCCATTCGTGAGCCCACATACACCACTCCATTGTCCAGATATGTCATACACTCGGGAATCGTTATCTCACCCAACAGTTCCAGTTTCAGGTCTTTGACGGTCTGCTCTTCGCAGCGCAGTATTAACATAAACAGACGGCCAGACATATCGCCCAACAGGTATCGGGAAGCGTCTACTTTGCAGTACGACGTGATTGTCGACTGTTTGATGGCCGGCGGAGCGATCGCGCAGTACTCCTTCTCGCCGTTCAGATACACAATGGACTCCTGACCGATCACTAGAGCGCCGCCGTAGGGCTGCGGCACCGGCACCAGAATCGACGCCTCGGACTCCACGTTGTCCTGTTTCCACGGCCCCTTCACGAACTCCTTCTCCGACAGCGAGATCTCGTACGTCTTCACGTGTCTGGAAGTGTTGTCCTGATGTATGAACGCAATGGTAGGAGTGGCGCACCCGTGAAGGAACTGCACGTCCGATACGTTCAGCTCTTCCATACGTATGTTAAACGCTTTCAACTCTTTGGACTCGCGCTCCAGTGGTATGACCTGCGGGTGACGGCGATGGGTATCACCAGAGAGTAGGTTTCAAACCATTATATGAATGCAAAGCACGTGAAACACATGTGAGCGTCAAATACCTTAAACAAGCCGTCGTAGAGCCGAAGTCCGATGAGTTTGCCGTTGGGTTCAATCATTCCTATGGATCCGGTCTCCGATGGCCTGGAGATGGTGTCGGCGACGTTGCCGTGCGCTCGAGTCACCACTTCGAAGGCCTCGCCTTCTCCGCGAATGCACTCAAGTATCGACGCGTTATACTTATAGGTCAACAGAAAGAGCAGATCCTTCTTCTCGCCCTCCGGTCTAAATGTCTTCATGACAGTGACTCTGCCGTAGATCGAGATCTCTTTCATGGGTCGCAGGCCTTCGGCGGTCACCAAATAGATCTCAATTCGCGTCGATTTGGCGATCAATAGATTCAGATCCGTCGGTGACGTGAAGTTGCCTTCAATTACAGCGAAAACAATGTTATCATTACTTAAAGCAAACAAATTGTGTCTAAAATGCCGTTTGAATTGCAATTTGAATCAAATGTGAGAAAAAAACACTTGTTTTGCAAACAAAGCCAACAAATAAGACAATTGAATGACACAAACCTGTGACACAATTGGAGACTCCGGAGCCCTTATGGGCGGTCACCACATAATTGTAAGTCATTTTAAATGACAATTAATACTAATTGCGGTTAAAATGAGAGACAAATTAATTCAATCATTGTTTGCATTCAAAGGAAACACACTTTTGGTGTGAAAACCGGCGTTAAAGCGATGGCGCCTTTTGGGGGCCATTCATACACGACGTGTCAGATATGACAACAAAAGTGTGGCTAAAGTTTGCAAAAGTTTTTTAAACTTTTATATCAAATCTAATTTTGTTTTAATTATAATTTAGATTAAATAACATTTGGATTATAAATACAATACAATTACATTTTAATTGTATATTGAAGTGAATGGTAGCGCTCTCTCTCTCTCTCACGAGGAATGTCTTGGGAGGGAACCGTTGCGCCCGAAGGCCAGCACTTCTTGGTTCAAATTTTCTAATAAAAATAATGAGTAAATCATTGATTGCATTGTTTTTAAGTGTAATGAGAAAACAATAATCACTCAATTCGTGGATCAAAGCCATGAATTGTTGCTCAAACTGTTGATCCCTTGTGTCGACCGTCCGATCGGATCCATTGCTGGCGACGGACTGTCTCTGAGAGGCGCGACAGACAGCGGTCGCCAACCGCTTCTCTACGGCCCGAACACGTGTCTCATTGGCCGACAGTTTGTACGCCAAGTATGTCATAAAACCACCTGTTTTTGGACCATAAGTATTGTCACTTCAATTGATCCCTAAGAATGGATACTTACCTATCAGTGGCGTCAATACAATGACCACAACCGCCGCCCAAACGCCGCCGAAACCGGCCATCAGTTGAAGGGACCAATGGATCACTTGTTTGGACACAAATCAAAACAATTCAATACTTGCAGTGAATGTTGAGCTCAGAGTTGATTCGAGTAGTCATTCATTGGTTGTAATGAATGAATGCATTGAATCATAGGTTTTGCGTTCGAAAGCGTCACTCAATGTGTGCTGAAGTGACGGAAAGGCTATTGAAGTGAACTCTAGTCTCGCAATGAGTGCAGCCATTGGTTGCGCCGATCGTCTGCTTTGAGTCCAACTCTACTCTCATTGCAATACAAACGACACAAACAGACGATCCGTTCGAGAGTTGGACCGAACGACGCATTCGATGGCCACTAATCGTAGCGAACGTCTCATAACTGATCCGCAGATGTCTTGGCCGCTGACCGCCGATGAAGAGGTGTTTGTTTGCGAACGAATGGATTGCGACAAACGGTTCCGCACGAAGAAGTCGCTGACCGAACACCGGAGGTATCATTTGTGTGGCTTTCGATGCGATGGCCGACACGACGACCGCAACGAGTGCTCCGACCAGAGGTTGAGTCGCTTTTCGCGACCGCTTCCGCCCGACGGAGGGCTCAAGAGGTATGAGTGTCTCGTCTGTCGATATGTCGGCCATTTGTCCGAAGTGTTGAAACACATCCACAACAGACACGTCTGTCGCCACTGGACTCATGATTTGAACCCCAATAATGGCAGAGCTGTCGGTGCGGCCAATGATAGAGCGGTGGCCAGAGTTGGCCAGAGAGACGACGAGAGACCTATTGATCTCTCACTGAAGACGTCTCGAAGCGTGAACTCAATGGACAACAGAGCCTTTGATAGAGCCGTTGAGTTAGTCAATGCCGGAGTCGATGAGTCGCCCGAAGACATCGCTTACGAGAGAGCCGTCAAGAGAGCTATTGATGAGTCCATAAAATCGGTGGTCGAGAGAGCCGTCGAGGGATCGGCTGAAAGAGCGGTTGTAAATGAGAATTGGTCTCAAATTTCACACGTGTTTTCAGATAATATGGACGAAGACATCGACCGCAGAGCTATCGGTCAAAAGAATATGAAGACATTTCGATGCCATGAATGCGACAAATCGTTCACAACTCGCAGCACACTCTCAGAGCATCGGAAGAATCATTTATGCGGTTTTGGGATCAAACCCATAGCCGACGACCAGAACTGCTCCGAACGGAATATACGGAAGTATTGGGCGATTGTATCAAGAAATCCAACCAAATGTCTGTGTCTTTGGACGGAATGTGGATACGGAGGAGACATACATAACATGAAAAGACATGTTCACAATCTTCACGTGTGTCCGCACCGGAAGAATAGCTCAGAAAAAGCGATCAAAACGAAGGCAAACAAATGTGAGACCAAAAAGAAGGACAAATTGGCCGCAAATGGCTTGAAATTGGAGGCAAAGCGTGACAACTGTTTCAAAGTACCGGCGATTCCGCCGTTGAAAGCCATTGGAAGCGATGCGAGCGGACAAATGGATCGCAAATCGACGGCTATTCCCAAAACCTATGGAAAGGCAATCGATTTCCAGACACAAAGAAGAGAAGAGATGAATAAACCGGAAAACATTCGACTGTTGAAACTGTTTGACGAGAAATGGGCACCAATTCTGGACAATATGCCGCTAACGCCTGAAAGACCTAACAATTGGTGGGAAGAGTACTGTGACGGACGCTTAGACACCGCTTCCAACGACTCGCCGACAGTGTCTTCGGAGGCCGACAGTCATGAGATATGGTTCGATGCAAACAGTCATCCAAATGATGACAGAAGCGAAGGAATTAAGCCTTCAATCGATGCGAAAACTACTGAAAGATTGTGTTTAATTCAATGAACGAATCAATTGTTTTAATAATTTTAGTATAAAATATAATTAATTATAAAAAGCAATAAATTTATTTCTTACATATAATTTTGAATTCATTATTAATTGAATTAATTGTTTTTTCTTTAATTAGTTTCTTATAATTGTTCTCTTTTTTAAATATTACATGTAATTTATAAAATGTATTATAATTTTTAAATTTATTTAATTCGTGACTTTTCATTCATTATTTTAAAGTGTTTTTTTTTGTTAAATAATTAGTTTTACTTTTCAATTAATTTTGTAATTTTTATCAATTTAAATGTCAAATAAATTTTATTTGAAATAAAGAAAATTCAAAAAGTTTTTGTTGTATTTTATTATTAAATTGTTTTTATTTAATTAAACGACATTTTACTAACAATTACTACAAATCTAATGTAAATATTAGTTATATATAATTACAGTACAAATTGAGAACATTTTATAAAATCTATTATTTATAAAAATAATTGATAAGATATAAGACAACTCTACAGATGTAATAAAAGTGATTATTATATAAATATTTTGATTTATTATTTACCAAATAATGTGAAATTTGATATTTAATGTAATATTTATATTAAACAATACAAATGATAAAACGGATAATTGTATTACTATTAGTGCTCATCAATGGTGTGGTCAGCGATAGTAAAGCGCCGAAAGTAAAGCCAAATGTAGTAATATTTTTGAGCGATGACATGGGATGGCATGACATCGGATACCACGGCTCCCAACACTTGAGTACACCTAATGTGGACTCATTGGCCGCCGACGGTATCGTTTTGGACAGATATTATACACAACCGCTCTGTACTCCCAGTCGGGGCGCTCTTCTCACCGGTTTTTATACGTCAAAAATAAGTAAAAACTATTGCTTTCATTGGAAACCAATTATCTGTTACAGGCATTCATCCGATACATAGCGGGACCCAACACTTTGTACTGTTCGGGGCCTCGCCCTGGGGTTTACCCCTCAGGTATAGACTATTGCCTCAGTATTTGAAAGATCGGGGATATAGTACTCACGCCATCGGGAAATGGCATTTGGGTTTCTATCGCAAGGAATACATACCGACTAATCGGGGCTTTGATTCGCACACCGGCTTCTGGAACGGCTTTG